AAGGAAAATGATACGTGGTGTTCAAGATTTTTTACAAATAAAAATCTGAAAAGTGTGGCATGCATATGTATTCAGCCTCCTTGAGTCAATACTTTGTCGAAGCACCTTTTGCTGCAATTACAGCTGCATGTCTTTTGAGGTATGTCTCTACCAGCTTTACACATCTAGACACTGCAATTTTTGCCCATTCTTCTTTGCAAAGTAGCTCCAGTTCAGTCAGATTGGATGGAGAGCATCTGTGAACAGCAATTTCCACAGATTCTCAATAGGATTTTGGTCTGGACTTTGACTGGGCCGTTCTAACACATGAATACGCTTTGATCTAAACCCTTCCATTGTAGCTCTAGCTGTATGTTTAGGGTCGTTGTCCTGCTGGAAGGCGAACCTCCCCCCCAGTCCCAAGTCATTTGTAGCCTCTAACACAGGGGTGGGCAATTAATTTTTACAAGGGGTCACATGAGAAACCTGAACTGTGTTGGAGGGCCGAACCAACGATAACTTGAACTTAATTCTGCTCAATATTCATTATCTCCCATTGTAAAAGCAGTAAATTATATGTGTTGATTAGCTGCTACTGGTAATCAGAAAAATAATGCTATTCTATAAATAGTTATATAAGTCTGTTCACATATGTAGGTAGATCCAAAGATTTCCTGCGATGTCCTCAACCCTCCTTGTTACAGTGCGTCGGGAGAAGGGCACGTTCTCATATGTGCCCTTTTTCTCCAGGCATATTTATTAGTGCTGCAGAGTCCAACAAACACTCTGTAATAAACTCTCTGTCAAAAAACGGCTTATTTTTTCTGGTGATTTTGTGGGATATGACATAACTTGTCTTGAAAGCTGCATCTCTGGGTGTGGACAGTTTTGTAAAAAGTCTTTGTTGGTTATGCAGTTTCACTAGCAAAGCATCCGACTCTCTTGCGCGCTCTTAATCAGACAAGTTCTTGTATTTGTACTCATGTTTGGTCACGTAGTGGCAATTCAAATTGTAATCCTTGAACACAGCGATCTGTGTACCACAAACTAAGCGCACCGTTGTACCTTTTGATTTCTGTAAATAGATACTTTCCAGTCAATGTCTTGTTGAAAACACGGCATTCGGTATCAACTTTTCTTTTTTTGGTGTGAGTTGACATTTTGAGGGTTAGCTGGCCAACATCATCTGTCTCTCACCCGGTAGGTCGGGGAGCTTAAGTTCACCAGTGAACTTTTTTCATTCATGTTCTGATTTGATGGATCTCACGTGAGCCGGACAGGGATGCCCAAAGGGTCGGATGTGGCCCGCGGGCCGTAAAATGCCCAGGTCTGCTCTAACAGGTTTTCTTCCAGGATCACCCTGTATCTAGTTTCATCCATCTTCCCATCAACTCTGACCAGCTTCCCTGTCCCTGCTGAAGAAAAGCATCCCCACAACATGATGCTGCCACTACCATGTTTCACGGTGGGGATGTTGTGCTCAAAAAGTTCAATTTTGGTCTCATCTGACCAGAGCACCTTCTTCCACATGTTTGCTGTGTCCTCTACATGGCTTGTGGCAAACTGCAAACAGGGCTTCTTATTGCTTTCTTTCAACAATGGCTTTCTTCTTGCCACTCTTCCATAAAGGCCAGATTTGTGGAGTACATGACTAATAGTTGTCCTGTGGACAGATTGTCCTTCCTGAGCTGTGGATCTCTGCAGCTCCTCCCGAGTTACCATGGGCCTCTTGGTTGCTTCTCTGATTAATGCTGTCCTTGTCCAGCCCGTCAGTTTAGGTGGACGGCCATGTCTTGGTAGGTTTACAGTGGTGCCATACGCTTTCCATTTTCAGATGATGGATTGAACAGTGCTCTGTGAGATGTTCAGTTATATGTTTTTATAACTTAATCCTGCTTTAAACTTCTCCACAACTTTATCCCTGATCTGTCTGGTGTGTTCCTTAGTCTTCATGATGCTGTTTGCTCACTAATGTTCTCTAACAAACCTCGGAGGCCTTCACAGAACAGCTGGATTTATACTGAGACTGAATTACACACAGGTGGACTCTATTCCCTATGTTAGGTGACTTCTGAAGGCAGTTGGTTGCACTGAATTTTATTTAGGGATATGAGAGTAAAGGGGGCTGAATACATATGCACACCACATTTTTCAGATTTTTATTTGTAAAAAATCTTGAACACTGTGTATCATTTTCCTTCCACTTCACAATTATGTGATACTTTGTGTTGGTCTATCACATAAAATACATTTAAGTTTGTGGTTGTAATGTGACAAAATGTGGAAAAGTTCTAGGGGTATGAATACTTTTGCAAGACACTGTACATATTCTGCCCAGGGGTGCCCAAACCTTTGTATACAAGTGCATGAAAAATCTGAGTTACCAGGTATGCTCTCTACTGTATCCCAGGTAAATGGCTCCAGCTGAACTGTTGAGTTCTAACCTTGTGGTGTGATGGACTTCCCTAACCAACAAATCATCTAACAAACATGGACACATTTCCAACTAGACTGACACAGCAGCATTTTAGACCCATTTTACAACATAATTGAGCATCTTGAGCTCAATTATAAACTGTTAAAGGCTGTTTTTAGACATTATTTACAGGACTTTGGATAGTTTAGCCTGACAAATCAGTTCAGAACATTTGTGATACTAAACATAACGCATAACATAAGCATAATGCTCCTATTAGGGCAAAAATCATAATTGTGCTTATTTAACACGATTACCAATTTACTGGAAACATCATTGATTTACTGAACTTAAAAAAGCTTTTCTGTAAACGGGATTTTCTTGAACTTTAAATATGGTTCAACTGAAAAACAAAGTATTTCATCTACCCAATTATGACTGACAGTTCAGACGAAATTACTTATTACTCTACATTTATTTTACAAATAAATAATAACCGACTATAGGCAAAGATGAAATGATCACTTCTCTGCAGGTTTATGCTTCATTAGCAGCTGATTTTTTGACATTGACTTTTTACTCGGAGGTTTTATTGAACGTACAGTAACGAGCTAAGGTGTTAACTCGAGTAATGTTGCACTTCACCTGATGAGAGCAACATGTGCTTGCGCTGTAGAGTGCTAAATTTATAAAACAAGAGATTTGTTCCAGACAACACAGGTGTAAACCCTATAACCAGCAGCTAAGCTAATGCCAAAGTTAGGAATATGCTTGACAACATCATAAACCAGTTAATCAGATGGATTAACCGTCTATGAGAAACTGGCAAAGCCCTAATAAATGTGAAGTCCATCCCTCAGGTGATTATTGTAGGGCAGCCGGGTGGCAGTGTGTCTGGAGTTTCGATATCTTTGTGTTGTTGGACTGCACTGCTTTGTTTAGTTTCTTGCATCTTATCTTGGATAGTATGGTTTTCAGAGACATGACTGATTGAGTTGTCTGATGACTCCTCACATTGCCTTCCCCCTCCTTTTGTTTTTCTCCTCCTCCTCTCCCTGTGTTCTGCCTCCAGATGATGAAGATCGACCCTATCAGTAGGCCTATCCCTGTCCAGATACCGACCCTCTCCCCCCAGCCTCTCCCTCTCTCTCAGCCTCAGACACCACCTTCCCGGTCCAGCTACACCGATGGCCTCATCCCTTCTGAGGATTCCTCACCATCACCGCCCTCGCCTCCATCACCTCCGCCTCCCCCACTGGTGGCAAGTGTGGCCCATCAGCCAGCACCTACCTCCTCATACATCAAGTACAGCACGTTGGCTCGCCTGCAGAGCCAGAACCAGTCCGGGACACAGGCAGCAGGGGCTGCCCCGCCGGCCTTTCCCATCCAGTCTATGAAACCCAACTACAATACTCTCCCAGCTACTTATAGCTCCTCACCTCCACAGCCTCCATCTCCTCCCCCTCCTCCTCCACCAACGGTGCCGGCTCCAGGTTCAGCCATGGCCGCATTGAAATTTGGTCCACCAAGCCCCTCTGCTCTCCCACCCCCACCCCTACTAGAGGAGGAGTTGCAGGAGCCCTCCTACCTCCCTCCTCCTCCACCAGAGAGCCTGGAGGCCAATGAGTTGCCTCCTCCTCCCCCTCCAGAACCCATCCCCAATTCCTGTCCCCAACTCTGCAACACTGGCCTCCAACAGTTCCTGGCACAAAAGTTTCCCAACATGGTGTATGACTTCAGCCCAGCAGTGCTCGACGATACGTCTCCGCCTCCCCCACCTCCAGCTGAGCTTTCTCCTCCTGTGTCCCTGCAAACTCTCCGACCTCTGTCTCCCAGTGCACCCCCTCCCGCACCTCCAAAAACGTTCACTGGTGGTTTCCCCCCTCAAACTGCTCCCAAACCCTCAGGTCCCTCTTCCCTTCCAATTGCCCTCTCACCTGTGTCACCAACAGGGCCCCAGAGCAGCCATGGGCCATTTAAAAAGCAGCAAAGTTTCTCAACAGGACATTCCCCAAATCAGCCACCTCCCACACTTCCAAAGCAGCAAAGCCTCTCCTCTAAAAACCTAGCTCTCTCTCCTTCCTCCTCCTCTTCTTCCATCTCCATTGCAGCTGCTACCTCTTCCTTGGTCAAACAGATTGTCAGCCAGTTCCCAGGAAACTCTGCTCCTTCCTCTCTGCCTGCACCCAACTCCACAGAAGGATCTAAGTTCAGTGCTCCTCAGTCTCCTCCAGCGGTCAAGGCCAAACCAAAGTGGCAGCCAGGAGGCCCTGTGGCTCCACAGTCCCCCGAGTTCCCCCCACCACCACCCAACAACTCACTGGGGGATTTCCCTCCTCCTTCCTCTTCATGCTCCTCCAAAATGGGCTCCCCTATAAAGAAGTCACCTTCCACCTCATCAGCAGGATCCACCAAGCGCGGGCCTCCACCAACCCCACAGAGAGCCTCTTCTATCCGGTCCAGTTCAGGAGAGACCCAGGATGAGAGGCCAAAGAAGGTAGAGAGCCTGGTCAGCAAATTTGGCCAAGCTCCTCAGACGGGTACGTCGTCCAGCTCCTCGTCGGCAACTGGGTCACCTTCAAAAGATTCCTCTGCACTTCCTGCTCCACTCCCAAAACCAGGGAAGCTGAACTTGGCAAACCTCCCATTGGCACTCCAGGGGCTGCAAACAGGCCAGCACTATCAGCCTTCTGAATTTCCATCCCCTCCTCCACCACCTCCTCCCTCCCAGCCTCCTCACCTTGACTCATCTCCTGACTATTTCCCACCTCCCCCCAGTGACTCTGAGCTCTTCCCTCCTCCTTCCCACCTGTCAGAGTTCCCTCACCCCCCAAAGGTTGCAGTGGTGAACCCCCAGCCTCAGATGCAGCCACATCAACAGTCGGCAACCTCCTCCTTATCAACGTCATGGAAACAAGGCTCAGTGAAAAAGGGGGCGGCCCCTCCTCCAACACTGAATTGGCGGACCAGCAACACGACCCAGTATGACAATACCACAACAATGCCCATCTCACCGCCTCCTTTGTCACAGACACCACCTGCATCCCTGTCCTCTTTCTCTTCCTCCTCCTCCCCTGTTCCCCCCACCTCCCCAAAGTCAGCGGGACCAGGCTCCCTGGCACTAAAGCCTCACTTCCTAGAAGACCTCAACCGCACCCTTAAGAGAAAGTCAGTGTCTCGCCATGGCTCACTCACCTCTTCCCACCTCATCTCCTCGTCTAAGATGGAGCCTGTGGGCACCATGGACGACATGGCGCTCCTCCCGCCACCCCCTCCGGAGCTCCTGCAGCAACAGCAGCATGGGGTCCGAGGACACTCTCACACTCTGTCTCGCCACCACACACACTCCCACTCCACCAAACATGCCAACATCTCAGGCTATGCAACGCTGCGACGAGGCCCACCTCCCGCTCCTCCAAAACGGGACCAAAGCACCAAACTGACCAGTGAGTGGTAGGGAACAAGGACACTGGGCGGAGCCTAAAGAACTGGACTGACTGTTTCCTGCAGAAATGAACTAATCCATGTCTGTCTCTTCTCATCTTAACCCATCCACCCTTAAACTTCAAAGCAAGTATCAACCACTCTTAATCTCAGATTATGATTGTTCCTATTATCCTCATTATTACTTCCATTACAATACATGTTTAATCCAATGACATGAGTAAAATCATGTGTGTGTGTGTGTGTGTGTTCTTGTACTTGCTACAGTGTGAGGACATTTTTGGAAAGTGGCCGGTCCTCACTTTCTGAGGGTTGTCTGCGTGTGTGTATGTGTATATATACACACATACAAGCAAGCTAGAAAAGATCACCTATCAAGCTTTTTTCACAATATGTGTGCAGCTTTGCATTGAAATATACAATGATGATGAGAGAAACAATATGCTGCAAAATAACTGGTACTGCAGTGGAGCTGCGGCAATGGAAGCAAAGTTACTGATGAAGGGAAGGATGTAAAAGTGGGATGATGTGTATAGAAACATGGGGGGGGTGGGGGCGCTCTTTAGAGGGAGCATTACCAATTATTTCAAATGTGTGTTTTTATATATGATTATTTAATACTGGAAAAATATTGTTATAATTATTTTAAGTTTTTAATAAGTATCAGAAGAGAAGAGGAGCTTGACTGGACATGGGTCTGTATATTCAAGATATGTCCACACGTGGATCACCGTTGCCAGACAGTATACTGCTTAGTGCTGATCTTATTAGCATGTTTCTTTAAACTTAAGAGTTTCATGGCTGACTGGTTGGTGAAAAGCCTTACTGCTTGAATGCACACTAATTTGACAACAAATTCTTCTTCTAAGTCAGAGAGTCAGCCTGTGAGGTTGTGCTCAGATTCCGTTTTTTTTTTATTCTAAACAGTTTTGAAATCAAATTCCATTACACAATATTATCACAGTTCTTATTATCCCAATGGGAACTACACATCGGGCATCTGACACTGTGTAAAAGTTAGATTTAAAAAAGCTTAATTTGTTCATTTTAATCAGATTGAATGACCTGGACTGTCCTGCAGAGACCGGAGCCTCCTGTAGTCTGGGCTCAGCCTTAGCACATCATTCAGTCGGCAGCAGCAAACTATTTCCACCATATTTCATGACCACCATGTTTAAACAAATGATTTCATTAATTCATTAGTACGTCAGTCAGCTTTGCAGGCAGTGTGTAGTAGCTAGTAGACCAAGCAGCTAGTCATCTACAGTAAACTGTCTGAAACAAGGTGATTTAGTAGCAGCTGCTTAATAAAACAGTCACTTTGTCATCTTAACGACTCCTCACTGACTAGTGAGTTATTAAAGAGGTGTGTCCACTTAGCATCTAACCCATGGGACACCCTGGGAACAAGTGCCTGAAAAACAAAATGCTCAAACTGCTCATAGGTGTGTGGTAACATTATACCCTGCAGAAAATCTTACTTCAGCATCACCCAGTGGGGTCCTGACATTTTGAAGCCTAGAGTTTCGCATTATCACTCACTCAGTGCCATGTTTGTCATGGACTGTAGCCAAAAAATCCTCATTTGGAGCAAACCTAGGAGGAGCTGATACGTGACAACACGCAGCAGTTAACATGAATGAGACCATACTCCTATTTAGGATACAATCTCACATTAATAGAAGAAGTGATTCTGAACAGGTCGAGGTACGATTTCACTCTCGTGCCCTATAGTGGGAGTATCAAAAAAAAAAAAAAAAACTGTGACAAACAATAGTGCCCATGCACAGAAGTGACATGCATGTGTCTCCTGTCAAGTTCTTCAGAGCTGTAAACCTCATGAGCTCCCATGTCACAAATCATTATTTGTACTCTGTGGTTTGCTTCTGTTTCTGCTGTTGCAGACATTTACATTGGTGTAACTAAACTCCAGGCTGCTCTACATTGCTCAGGATTCAACTGCAACCAGATTTTAAACTGATTAGAGCTGGAATCATTCATTTGTTATTCAATTGACAGAATTACTCTGCAGCAAGTTTAAGATTAAAAACCTTTGCTCTTTGGGCCACTGGTTTGAACAAATGAGCAAATTAAAAAGGGCAACTTGGAGATTTTTCACTACCTTCATGAAACTAAAGTCCTTCAAAGATCCCACACAACAAACACTGCCACAATCAAACAGAACCTGGTGCCAGGAGGGAGTTGCAGGAACTGAAAGCAGTGGCACTTAGACAACGATGCCAGAAGGATTCTACTTTAGTCACTTTGGGAATTAGATATCTAGTTAGCTGGTAAGTCAGCACATAAGTACAGACAGGTGTGATTCTGGTTTTTAGCAACATGTTTGAAATAACATCTGTAGTAGTTGGCCTTTCAGCAGTGCAGCTGGCAACTGGATGAGCCCAGTCAGTTAAGTAGTAAACTAGAAACCAGGTCAGTTATTTCAGACAAAACCTGAGTCCACTTCAGTTGATATAAGCTCCCCAAACACATGCTCTGGTCTTTCTTTTTTTTTTTTACATTTCATGTGCAGCATAACCTACAGTGGGTCTGCTTCCTGTTTTTATCTCCCTTACAGTCTGCACAACAAGTCACTACCACTACAACAGCACAGATGCCAAAAATGTATCAATACTGCCCACACTGATTTTAATGTGCAATGATTTCTGTTTTTGAAGTACTCTGCTTTAATTCCTATGTATCTTTCTGGTTACAGTTAATTTTCACATCAAATCTGTCTGTTTTGTGATAGAAAGGAGAATTCATACAAGACAAGGACTTCCAACACCGACTGCCATGCAGGAATGTCATGAGTAAGCCTACATCATGGGGTTTTTCAGTGACACTCAAGAAGAAAATACAGTTTAAAACTAATCATGTCTTGAAATATCTTCTGCTCAAGGACACCCAGCTGAGCACACATGGCTGGTGTCAAACCCACTGTTGCATTTAAAATAAATGAGGAAAAATGAGTCAAACTAAAGTGCAGATTCCAGAGTTTTTACCCAAGTTGACCGCTCAGCTCCAGACTGCACACGGTACATCATGTTCAGCCACAACAGTCTCACTAGTCAATGTACTGCACTCTGACTGCCTTCAAATCAGTCAAATCTGTGAGCTCATGTTTTCAACAAGGAGCGCTGAGTCTATAATTTGCTTTACTTTCATGTACTTTAGATTGCGTAAAGACTATTGCTAAAAACAAAATTACAATGATGGCCATTGACTTATTTTTCAAATATACTACATGATTTTGTTTCACTTATGTTGAGTAACAAAGAATGGGCTCCAACCATTTTAAAAACTGTACATTACAATCAGTGACCTCTGAGCTATCAAAGTCATGAATACAATATCAGTAGATTGTTCAAACATAATCACACTTGAAGACAACAACAAAGTGAAGGTTACCTGAAAACCAAGATTATCCCGTTTTCTAGCCCAGATGCTTATGATAAACAAAATGTTCAACCTTTATCCATGTTGCATAGCTACTGTTATCAGTGCCTTTAATCAAGGCCACACAATCATCCTCATCCTTTACTTAAACATTTTGACTTGTCCTCCCTCTATCAATACACAAACACATGCCAACCAAGAGGGCTACTGTGGACAGCAACAGAAAAACTGAAGTGCGGGAAGCTGCAGTTATTGCAAGAAAAATCTGGACCAAAGGCCAAAAGCTCAGACGTTGTCGAGCCGGAGCAGCAGAGTCAAGTGCCACAAAACTTAGAGGCTGCTGCTCTCTGAGACTACAAAATGTGATGGAAGACAACAAACAAGCCTACCACCAGAAAACGAACTGCCTACCACTGACGCTCAGTGACAAATATGTCAGACAATCTGGTTCAAATGTCTGTCCAAACCCCGAATATACTCACTACCATATAAGATGAACAACAAATCATTTCATCTGTTGCACTGAAAAACAATGAACGCCACTACTCACAATATTCCTGGTGATTCTTTAAGTACTGAAAGTACTAATACAACACTGTAAAAATATTGTTAGAAATAAAATTCCTATATTTAAATATTACTTAAGTACAGTATGAGAGTATAATCAGTAAAATATACTTAAAGTGCTGTGCTGAAAAATTTCCTTTGTGTTTTACATTCTTTACTGCATCAGTGGCATTATTTTCCTGTTCTGTTTCATACTCTGCAACTAATGGTTATGTTCATTATGCAACGATTTTCTATTTTTTTCTCTATTGATTGTTTGGCTTGTAAAATGTCTGAAAAAAAGAGAAATGCCAGTCACAGTTACCCAGAGTGACACTTTCACAATACATATTTTGTCACATCACCACATTTAAGAAACTGGAACAATGAAATGGACATTTTGCATATGGAAATGACTCCAAAACAACTTTTAGCCATTGGTAAATCTGTCAACTATTAGTTTTAGCTGTATTTCCTTATATAATTGGGGGTATTTTATTTTCAACCAAACATTTATAAAATCCTATTTAAGTTTTTAATTTGCAAAGTAACTAATGCTGGGGAGTAAAGGTAATGGAGTAAAAACTAACTATGGTGGCACAGAGCCACAGTTTGAGATGGATCATTTGTTCATCAGTGCCTCTTGATCTCTGTCAGTTCATCAGACCAAGTCATGGCCACTGTAGACAAGCTAGTCACAGGATGCATGTCAGTGGAAATTCAAATAAAGGTGATTTGCATCGGTGTGTAGTGTGTTACCTCACAAACTGCTCAGCTGCTGGTGGCTTGAGAAAACACCGTCACTGGCAAAGAGTGAACTTGGTTGTAGAGGTTTGTCATGCTGACTGCATGAGATTGTCTATCTTTGTTTAAAGAGCCCGTGGGGCTTTTCCTTGTTTTCTGACTTAATTCACTGTTGTAACATTGTAGATATCGCATTAGACGCAACCTAAAGTTCAACAAATGAGGTGTACATATGTTCTAGTATTTCTACGCAGAAGCAACTCAGTTTATACACATCTCACAAACTCTTGCTTGTGAGACCTTTCTTCTAACAACATAAAGTATTACATGATAGTTTAAGGATTTCCTTGAATGGGCATTAAATTCAGGCAGTTGCGCGTTCATGTGAGCTTGTCTGACATCCACCGGTGCCACTGTAAAAGCAGAATTTTTCGACTGCATGCAGTTTTGTGGATATATTTTACCTGTTGCTGCACTGTGACCATAAGATATAGAGAAAAATACAGGGACAGTAACCTCACTGCATGTCCAGGAATGTTCCTGTACAGGGGACTCGCTGTTTCACATGGCCAGGTCTAACCTACAAGCAGCCAGCCTGTGAAGACCCCACAGCATTTAATGATGAGCTGATCAAGGCTGGATTCCTCCAGAGCACAGTACCCGTTTGTTTTAACTACTTGAATTAATGTCACAACTTTGGGACTCTGTGGATGTGTGGGGGAAGACACAGTGACCATGGGTTGGATTTACCGACCTTGGAGCTACTTGACAGGAAGTGATGTTTCCACTACTCGGTGGGACTTAACGGTAAGTTTGAAAAACACGTGTTGCGTCTGTTAATGCCTTGTTTCTGTAATGTTAGAGAGAATTGTTGTAAGGCTGGAGAAGTTACTATGTCTGCATTATGGCAGGTAAAATATGGGGGTTCTCAACTACCTGCTTTGTTTAGTGTTACACATCTCTCTTCATCTGTATATATAACGTTGTTTACCTATCTATGGAGGAGACCTTCATATTGATTAATGCTGTCACGGTTCGTTGTGCACTGTCGACAACACCAGCAACAGGAGTTGTGCACATTCACGAACTATCCTCTTGTTTTTAGGAAGAGGCTCTCAGGTTTTATCATTCTGAAATAATTACAGACTATTTGGAGTTATGAGGGTGCCAAGTTAATCTAGAGGTACCCAAGATTAAACATTAAATGTCTGGAAATAAGCAAAATGAGCAGCCATGGGGACTTTAAACACAAATGCAATGCAGCAAATGCAGTATTTCCAGTCTTTGACAATACCTGCCATATGAATGCATGAAGATGAAATTTTCAATGTTTTCAAACTAAACAAAGTTTACATGGTTTTTCTGAAGCCTTTGGCCCCTTTGTTCTCACTTTCCACCACAAACTGATTCCCTACTGTAAAGACATAGATAACACTGAATAATCTACTTTAAGTCCTGCAAGAAAGCAAACAGGCACAATTAGCAGACTGCGTTTCACTGAGTCAGGATGAAATTTTGACTTCATACACTTGAAGGTTGAAAGAAGATTCAGGACACAAGAGCTTCCCAGCTCAGGCAGTTTATTTAACAAGCTCGGGTGGTACAGAATTACAGCAGCATAACAAGGTACAGTCTACACAGTCAGTTGAATGCGCTTCATACTTAGTGTAGTCACTGGAGAAACCCCTGGTGTACAAAATTTAAATCTGTCCAAAACTTCATACCTTTCATGGCAAATCTAAATTTGTGTGGAGACCTGGAGAACCTCATCTCTGTGGCTACCTAGTGATCTGCAAAACAAGTGGATCTACAGCCTGTCAGGAAGTCATGTTCAAAACAAAGCGATGAGAAAACTGGAGACAGACCTCGGTCTATGTTAAACTGCTGCAATTATCAACCCACGTAAGTAAACCTGAATGAAAAGAAAAGATTAGGATAAGCTAGAGATTAAAACCTACAAACTAATTTAGCACTAAAGATAAAGATGAAATGACTGAAACCCCAGTATGACACCAAGGCAGGAGACGGTAATCTGTTACTGATCACTGTAGCACCAGTAGAATACTGGGTGCTGTAGATTCACAATATAAAACTACTGAGAGGAAAACCTTACACAGAAAAAAACTGCTACTAAAAGCAAATGCTGTGTGTGGAACATGCCTGTGTAAATCATATGAGCAGAGATGCTGAAGTTAAGACTCACTTCAATTTGGCATTATTTGTTTAGTTGCACATAGGGGGCTCCTGTATCCAGTATGAGTTGAATGGAGTGTGGTCAGTGTCTTGGGGCCTCCTGGTCCATACAGCCAGCAACATGGAAACAGAGAGAGAAGAGAACAACCACAGCTTCACCCTGTCCACTCCAGCCAGGACACAGGGAGACATCCACTCATTTACTGACCTGTACTACTGTGAAGCACGGCCGTCTTTGTCTTTGTCAGATATCATTTTGGTCACACAACCTTCGCTACAATTGACAGAATTTAATGAAAATGTGCCTTGAAGCAAACAAAACTGTCACTCAGTTTGGTGACGAGTGTATCAGGTTAACCACTGTAACAGAAATACCGTCACAATCAGTCAAGTTTTTTTTTATTATTTAAGACAAAAAGAGCAGCAGTGACTTGTCTGTAACTCTGGTAAGTCTCTGCATTTCATTATGGTTGCCCACATAACACAGAAAGGTGTTTGTTTTTTAGCCTGGCCTCACTGATCTGAATGTGTTTGTCTCTCCAGCAGCAGCGCTTACCAGTACGTTGATCCACTGGGAGTCAGTGTAGATGTACAGAGCGTTTCTGTCTGTCCTCAGCACCATCACGTTCTCCCCCCGCAGCCTCCGCATCTGCTTCTCTCCGTCTGCAATGAAGATCTGGAGGGCAACAGATATGAGCCTGTTTTACACAGTGGGTGTTTGAAAAGGTGTTTTATTCCTGAAGAGTCTGGTGGAACTGGTGTCTGTGACAGACACTCACATATGCAGCGCAATACAGATTTTTGCCACTATGAATTATTTGTGTATTCAGGCTTTTTGTACAGTACACACGTCTATAAACTACTGTCTGAAATAAAAATTTATTGGAACATGAATAACATCAGTTTAAGGTCTGGATACTTCACAAAGATCAAACTCAGCTCATTTTTAATGAGCCTGTTATATTTTAACAGGTGAGTTGATTATAACACCACATTCATTACATTGTGTTGATCACTGAAACCAAATCCGTAGTGTTTGAAGGGCAACATGACAAATTAAGATGGGTTTCATTAAAGAGTTTGTGTGTCACCAACCGTAGGAACTCTGTCCAACATCTGTTCTGGATCTGGAACCTGTGCACAGCTGCATTTGGCTGAAGCGCCTCGGTCTCCCGGGTCTCCCTGCAGGCCTCGTACCATGTACACTGCAACACAACATGGAGCTGATCAGCACTGCTGTGTGCCATCAGTAGGACTGTGTACTCTCACCACACTGTTACTGTTCCTTCTCTTCTGTTTCATACTGTTCATCCATCTAACAACCAGCTGTGTCCTCCAACCTGCTGATGGGCTTTGAGTGACTGAAAACCAGCCCAGACGTTTGTTCCTACCACCTGTGCTCTGGGGTACAGACCTAGAGGAGGTAGTTTGACCCCCCCATTGTGTTATGGTCTGCTGGTGCTATCAGTAGAGTTGACAAGAACATAGGCTGCCCCAAACTTTGAGAAAACAAGAAATAATCACAAAAAAAGATTCAAAAATGTGTAATTTAACCCCTCCTCCTGTGGCTCTACCTTACACCCAGAACTAGAACCCGTTACACAGAGTCTGACATCTCCTGCTGATATAAGTCTGCTATGTGTCAAGTGCAGTCTCCTTTTCATGGGATTGCTAACTGGCTGGTTAACCAGTGACGTCCCTGCTGTTACGAACTTTGTCCAGGCAGCCCAGGTTCTCCAGTTAGACCAGGCAGTCCTGCTGGACCAGGGTGACCCAGCTTCCCCAGAGGCCCACGAGATCCCTTCAACCCCTACAGACAGGAATTCCTTCATTAATTAAATCAAGCACTGGTTGTCAGGCAAGCACAGACACTACAGAACTTAGCTGAAAGGTGAAAACCCCATATCCTCCAGAGAGAGGAGAGGTCGGGGTTCATAAACACTAACATATCCCCCCGCTGCATCTTATGACCAAATCAGAATCATCTTCTAGAGGTTCAGTTTGAATAACTTGTGAATAAATGTTATTAGTAATATAAAACATGAGCAGCTCTAGAAAACATGAACACCTGATCTGCTCCAACAGTCCCTCCTCATTCTAAACATTTTATCCAACAGAAACTATAGTATACACAATTAAAACAGTCTTGTGCTAATAATGAAAGTACAGTAATGCAGATGAGAGGCTGTCAGCATTTTTCTTCTACTTTACAAGAATGAGAGTGTCTACTAACAGGTCTAAACACAGAATTAGATTGAACAATCTTTTCCCTGCCTGCTAGTTAACGTCAGCCTTCTATATCTATACATATATCTACCTGTGCACCTGATACATACACAGTACCTACCATGGGGCCTCTACCTCCAGGCTCTCCTCTGGCTCCTCGCTGACCCACCTGCCCCAGAACACCCCATTGACCTGGATCGCCCTGGAACAGCACAGCACAGAAAACTGTGCCTTCACAGCTTTCATTCACATTATTCTTGACTTAATGTTAAACTTTTCTCTGACCTTCTCTCCTGGCGCTCCAGGGATGCCACGTTCGCCCTACACACACATAGTTTCAGTCATTTGTCACATTTTCAGCAAAGCAAATGGAAGAAAAGGAACTTTCTCCTCACTTTCTCTCCACTGGCTCCTCCGTTTCCTTTTACACCTTTATCGCCCTAAAAGATGGATAGAAATAACTAAAGATAAGTAAGCAGCAATCATACATGGCGTTCCGCAGAAAGTCCAGTGGTGTTTGAAGACATGCAGCATAATTCTTACTCACCCTGGATCCTTTATGCCCCCGACTTCCCTGTGAAGACACAGGATCAAAAATCATTTCTAGTCACTGCTTCCATTACTACCTGCACCATCTCTGCTCTTCACAGCAACAGACAACCATGCTGGCCTGTGATAAAATAACCTTGCTAGGCACTTTATTGATGGCAAACCAGTTGTAAACACTGCAAATGATGAATGAAAAAGCCACAGGTGAACTGCTGAGATGCAGAGCTGCTGGCAACACTGCTGCTCCAGTAACGTTCACATCAATAACAGAAGGTTAGGTTATCAAAATTTCTGCATAATATAAAGTGGCACAGTGGCCATTCATGTAGCCCTTCTCAACCTGTGCACAGTACATTACACACTCCTCTGTGCAATTTAAACATGATGGCCAAACAGCAAACAATGCACCAGGTCAACAGTAAATTTCTCAGTATAACTACATTTCTCTGTCACACTGTGTGTAAATGTGGAACCACGCTAGCTCTGACCAAACACAGTGTGAATCCAGTCTGTGTTGTACCTTTATCATCCCAGGAGTTCCAATGTCCCCGTACAGGCCCCTCCAGCCTCTGTCCCCCTTCTCTCCCTGTGGAGAAACACCGTGACTTCATATTAGATCAAATCACAGCATGTAAATTGTTAAGTCAGAATTACACAGCGACTTGCATGTAAATGCTTACAATACTAGCCATGTTTTCTGTAACATGTACATGAATTATTAATGTGCAAGCTAGAAAAATACAGGATCAGAGGAGTGGCTTTAAATTGGATTAGTAGTTATTTGACACAGAGGCGCCAATTTGTGAAGTTGGGTGAACATCAGTCGAGTGAACTGGACATTGTATGTGGAGTGCCTCAAGGTTCAGTCTTGGGACCGAAATTATTCATTAACGACATGTGTAAGGTTTCGGCTTTTGTGAAAATGGTCTTATTTGCCGATGACACTACCATAAGGGCATCAGGGGATAACCCACAGCAACTATCGGGACAAGTTTCACAGGAACTCGAGAAGATAAAGAAATGGTGTGATAGTAATATGCTATCCATGAATATGGATAAAACTAAATTTATGGTATTTGGGAATCACAGACTAGATAATGAACTTCAATTGAAAATTGGGGGAGCTAATATAGAACGAGTATATGAAATTAAATTTCTAGGTGTCATAGTTGATGA